CAAAGAAAACTGAATCAAGTATGAAATAATCTTATGTACAATACACATGGTTATTCATGATACCACAAAAATTCAGKTTCATGTCAGCAAACTGATCTCACTGCTTAGTGGTTAGGATTAGGGAAAATTTGGGGTTATGCGATGCATAGAGCTGCATGAATCTTAATGCTCGTTCTTAAAAATTTCTTTTCAGTTTAAAAATTCAGTTTTAAAATTTTGAAATCYCATAATACGTACATGAGAGGCCTCTATGTATCTCAGTGACCCTATATATCTACAGTGTTGTATAATGTAAGTTGTCATGCAACAGTTCCTCTGGATTTTAGTTTCATTTTTGTTATCATAATATGTTCTTACAACCTTGAAAATTGTCTTTCAGGGCATATGCTTTGTTCATTTATTTCTAATCTGTTATTTTTGTATACTACATGTATTTAACACTTATTTACTGGAACCTAGGGAAACAGTTAATCTTTTGTGGTCTCAAGACCGCTGAGTAAATAAGTGCTTTTAATTATTATCATATCAAGTGTCAAAGAAAGCAAAACAAGTAAATGATTGAAGTGTTTTTATTAAAGATTTTGATAAAATGACTGAAAAATGGCAAATGATACATAATACAAATAATCAAATGTCACTAAAATCAATCAATGTAATAACAAAATGAATACTATAAATGTAACTTACATGTAGCTATTTGTAGTCGAAATTAAATGTTTCATAACAATTTTGGAATGCACTGTCCGTAAATGTGACATTTTCACGACACTGAAGAGTGTTCTTCTGCGACTTTGTACTTATTGACAGTCCACAACATATTATTGACTGCTGGTGGACAGTGTCCGGGAAACAGTAAAATTTTGTGACTCTCATGTGGTACACTCTCGACCAATAAGATACTAGGAAAAGTGAACTTTGACACTTGATATATATAATAAAATGTCTTGTTTGATTATAAAAGTTGCTAACTTTAAGKTGACATTTTAGCTAATGGTGATTATGATAAGGTCTGGAAGGAACATTGCTCTGACCAAGACACACTGCAAAACTATGCAAAGGCAATGTTCTCACTTGCAACCAGCCAGTGGTGCAAAAATTCCCCTGGGGGGAGATCTGACTGGTGTGTAAAGATCTGCAAAGAGTACTTTCAAGAAGGTGGATTGGATATTGCAATAGAAAAGCAAAAGAAAAGAATTGATAAAGAAATGGGAACCTTGTGTTGCTGTTGCATTAATGCAGATTCAGTATCCAACATAGTGTATGTATTATAGTTATAATGTCAGAATGCTGTGAGTAGTACGAGTGCATTATCTATAGACTTGCCAATWGTGATTGTCTTTACTTCCCGTCTACTCATTGCTGAGAAATCCTTTCTTTTCAGTTATCAACTAATCACAAATTATGAAATCAATCATTAGACTTATCAATACTACCAAATCCACTGTAAGAGACATCTCCTAGAATTCAAAATTAGAGTTAATCCACTATTTGAGAACAATATTTTTTTTTAGATTTATTGCTGAACATTATGACTCTATAGTATTTATGTATGTTAACAGATCTGTAAAGAAAAGCAAGTTAAATCTCTTAGATGTTGGTAGCTGCTATAATCCATTTCTTGAATTCAAAGATGATTTTTTTACAGTTGCAATTGACCTTTGTCCTGCTACAGAGGTATGTGTCCTTTTGTAACAAAACTCCTATAAAAAAAGCAATTTTTGTTACCAGAATTATAAGGGAGAAATTATCTTCAGGACAGGACAATGATAAGGACTGACAACACAAAAGGAAGATAAACAGCTAGATATTATATTTCCACCAAAGCTATAATAAGACTCAGTTTGCAATCCCTCATGTATAGTTTACAACATGAGCGGCCGTGTTGTATGGGAATTACAATCTCGAGCCGCAGGCGAGAGATTGTAATTCCCATACAACACGGACGCGAATGTTGTAAACGACTTATAAAACTCCTACACAAATTAACATGAATTACAGTGAGATAAATGACGAAAAATGACAAATAAGGTAACTGCTGAGTTTAGTCCCTATTAAGCATGCGCAATTTACTGCAGCAACACAGAACATTTTGAATAATTATCCATCCCACATGGAAAGCAAGCCATCTGTTGCATAAGCGAGTTCTGTTATCCGTCTTTGATTGCTTCAAAACCTAGTGAAGGTCTATGATGCGACACTAAAACTGAGACCTTTGCTAGTGTTGGGTTGTCTCAATGGTGACTACCGTGTTGTAAATCTGATACAACACTAGTGGTTGTATCAGATTTACAAGGTCAATCACCTGATTAAAYRGTCAGCCCTTATTGGAGCAATAGCTTATGCATTATTAATAAGTTTTATAAGTATATATATGATACTGAAGAAGGGCAAATGCTCGAAACGTTCATTAAAGAGTAGAAAACCAAGTTGCAAGTTGTGTGCCTTTTTCTTCAATTTATTCTATTTATGATACTGATTATCATTATTGTTTTCCTTTCAGTATGTTTATAAATGTGACTTTTTGGATCTTAAAATCATAAATGAGAATACTTCTGCAAAATCAAAGGATGCTAAAACAGTTCCTTGCAGTTGCAAAAGAAACTACTCCCATTGTCAAACATTTACAGAAATGAATACTGAAAACTACCAAACTATACAAAGTGAYGAATCTCCCAGGGAATGGAAAGGTCAACAAGAAATTAATATAAGCACATACCTACAAAAAACTAACATCACTGAATTTCCTGCTGGTTATTTCCATGTGGTAGTTTTCTCACTTCTCTTATCCTATTTCCCATCATCTGTTCAAAGATGGAATTGCTGCATTAAAGCTCATCAACTCCTAGCTGTTAATGGTATTCTCCTCATCATTACACCTGATTCTTCACATCAAAATCGCAATGTTGCCATGGTGAAGTCCTGGAAGATAGCAATTGAATCAATAGGTTTTGTGAGATGGAAATATGTCAAAGATACACATGTGCATTGCATGGTATTCCGTAAAGTTTCTCCCTGTCATCACAGTTGTTCCAAAACGTGTAGTTGTAATGTCAGTGTTGATGTTACACCAGACATGATGTATATCCGTCAGGACTTTAATGATAGTGACAGCATCATTGATGATATCAGTACTGATTATCCAGTATCAAAGAAAATGAAAATTGAGTCAGTCTAAATATAGGGTAGAAGCCCAAATAAATTAAGATTCAAAAAGTTACATGTAGGATTATATATCAAAGCTAAGAACTGAAGAAATGAAAACACTAATAGTATTTTCTCTGTGCATAGGAGTCATATTCGATTAAACACTGCTTCGTCTACGTTTGTATATGTTTAATTTCCGAGCTTTCGGATCATTTGATCCATCATTAGGGACTAGTATGTATTCTGTCCGTTAATTAATTTGGATTCTATGATGGGGAGAGTTGAAAACACTGACCCCCGGTCCGCGGACCCCTCAGTAGCATGGGGTCAATACCTATGGTTTAAACTTTCTTCAAAT